TGTTGGAAGTCGTAGAGGCAGTCCGGAAGGGAGTAAAAGTAGGGGACACGGAAACGTCGGTTTCAGGAATGCTGTTTGCGGATGATTTTGTCGGTATGTCGGACACCCCTGAGGGACTGCAACTGCAAATTGACGCGGCGAAGAAGTTTACTGATAAGTGGAGATTGTCTGCCAACGTTCAGAAGAGTGCCGTCATGGTATGCAACGAGGACAAGGAGGAACCGGTAGGACATAGATGGAAGTGGGGGATCAAGGAGATTGCAGTAGTGGACCAGTACACATACCTCGGAGTAGAGATCGCAAAAGACTGCTCGTGGAATGCACACATGTCCAAGGTAGCGGAAAAGGGCAAAGCACGAGCAGGGAAGCTGCATCCAATACTCGCAAACCGGCACCTCGATACACGTGTTGGATATACTCGTAGCATAGTAAACATGGTTGAATATGGGACATGGATCTACGGAGAAATTGGTAGATTGCGGAGGAACTTGGTTTCTTCGAAGATTCGATGAGTAATCTGAATTGCGTGACGGATGACGGATGGGTGTTATGACGTTCTCTTCGGTTCCCCGGACACTATTGTTCTCTGCTGTCCCCTCTCCCTTCGAATACAAGACTTTCTCACCTCGGCGCTCACTGGCCGAGCTGCATTTCTCCACAAACCTACAAGCTTCGGCCTACCCGGTTCACCTAACACGCTAGCGTTGAACGTCTTTGTCGAGGGTGACAGGGTAAGCGCCAACCAGAGATTGGTAGCACCGATGGGCAGCCGCATACGTGGCTGACGACACTCAACCAGACGAAGAGGCCACCAACGGCGAGGGCCTGCACAGCAGCAGCACCCCCAAGACCTACAGCAGCGCCATCGTCCGCAGTAGCGCCCCCAAGACCAACAGCGGCGCCATCGTCAGCTGAGCCCCGCCGTCTACTGAGCTTGTAGGCATGAACAGGCACGTGATGACTTGTCAGTTGTAGACTGCTGTGGTTAAATACATCAAGATTCCCTTCAGTACAGTCTTGGAGGCTGAGTACTGTACTCAGCATAGCATAGTATAGAGTACCGTACTAAGCGCACTTTTGTTTTGAGTACAGTATTGGAAGCTGTACTAAACGAACTATTTCGCTTTGTATAGTATGGAAGGCCGTACTGAACCCCCAGTACAGTACAGTTGTTGTTGTTGTTTCTCACATTAGCTCTAAAAAAAGAAAGATTGGGAGCCCGTGGTCTCAAAACCCGGCATACACGACCCCACGAAGAAACAGAAAAAAATAGGGTACAAAAACCACTCGGAAGAGAAACAAAATGATAGAAAGAAAGACCAGCTACCGCACCAAACGAGAAAGAGCGTCGAGGAGACCGATCAAAATAAAATAAAAGGAGAACGGGGAACGCTTCCCACACCCGCCTACAACGCCGGAGGGTTCCGTGCCGGGT